CTTTTCTTTTCTTTTCTTTTCTTTTCTTTTTCTTACTTTTGAGCACTTTTTAAAAGACAGTATAGTTTAAAGTATGAAATCCACAGTAAGATTTTGAATCCATAAGGGAGGAGTCAGAATCAGTGGAATAAAGATACATTATGCTGCTTATCAAACCCATTCTCAACGATGACTTGACCAAAGAAAGCTTAAAAGAAGCGGACAGCAACGTTTGAGAGTTGTCACCACATTAAAATTTAGATTACAGATTCGGCTGATGTTTCAAAATGTGAATGAAACCTGAGAGAGGCCGTGCCAACGCCGGAGCGTGTGGGCGATCCATCAGATCCTGCAGGGTTACGGCTCCTCAGAAAGACCTCTGCATGATTTACGCCGCACTGCAAAACGCTGACGAACCTTTCTCCTCAGTCTGAGCCGGCAGTCTGTGATCTGAGCTGCGTGCACGAATTTAAATTTAGAGCAATGAATCATGTAACAGAAGAGGGGTTTTTTTGCATCATGGCAAAATACTCCAAACAGTTAAACAAACGCTGCAGATTAGCAGCATAATATATGTAATCATCCTGGCTGCAGCTTGAAAACAATTTGTTTGTGTTTTTATTTGATTTATTGAGCGACTGAAGGCCACTTGATGCAGAGGTTTATCAGCTGAATATGTGTAACCATACCCAAAGAATAAAAAGTCAAATTGACATAACCACAACTTAAGTTAACACACAAACTTTGCTATAATGTCACCAACGCTTTTATTTGAATCTTTTTATCATTCCTTTGAGACTATCTTATAAAAACCAAAATGTCAWCTTGAATGCCAACAGAAACGTTTTGCAAGCCCATCCTCTACTTTTATATGTATAGTTAGTCAAATCTCAAACTGTKTTGCACCTTGTAAAACAACAAATTCCACTAAAGGTCTCGCACTCTTTAAACTCCAGTAATATAGGTTGTARAATTATGAGTTGGCTGCATTTTCCCCCTCAAGATGGTTCAGAGGTTAAAATTCAAATGGCAATGATGAAGTTGTTGTTTTTTTAACCCGTTTTACAGATTTTCCTCTCTCATTTTTTGCCTTCAGACATCTCTGCATCTCCGACAGCCAACAGGAGTAAGATCAATGAGAATCTGGTCAATTCTAGTCGTTTTTCCACCTCTAACTGTGATAACCTCTATCACACCGACTCCAACTATTATCCTTACAACGGCTCTCCAAAAGGTACAGCTCCRTCATCTCAGTAATATTTACTGACACACTCCAGTTTGAATGTTTTGTTTTTGTGTGRTTTTACAATCTACCATAACTACTTACTTTGTCCATTCATATATTAAAATATTCAACCTGTTCAAGAAATGTGCTAAGTAACTTTTTTACTTTTCCAAATATTTTTACTTTATTTACACATTTGTCCATGTAGAAATACGTATGTGGCGCTCTTCAGTTACTTTACTATTTTCCTGATACTTGTTTCAGCATTTAAAGCTACCAGTTACTTTTGGCTTTTAGC